TATATATATATATAGATTAATTTTGAGCCATATACGAGATATATTCACGCTTAATTTCAACGAAATTAAAAAGGAAAAAAGCAAAATCGTTAAAACGGAAGAGTCCTTGAAATAGGGAAATTACACCCATTGTGAATAGGAACAATTTGTTTCATCAATGGATCCAACATAATTGGTAATCTAATGTTCAATTAATTCACAGAATTAAAAAAAAAAAAAAAATATTGTAAAAACCTATACTGTATACCCTCTAAATTATAAAATGGAAATAAAATTATGCGTAAATATTTTATTTGTAAAGTACTACTTAAATTTTAAGGCTTAAGAAAGGGGAGATGAGAACGTCTCTCTAAGGAACTACTGGGATTCATATAAATTTTGTTTTAACGTTTAATTACACTAAATTTTACATAAATATCTGCAGAACAATTTTATTTAGAAAGAACACAGAATTTAGAGTTTTAGGAGAGGATGATGGTCGGGATAGCCTGGTTGGCAGGGAGCTGGACTCACGTTCATGAGAACGGGAGTTCGAATCCAGCCGGCCGAAGACTTCCCCATCATTTAATGGAGATTGGTGCACGTTAAATCTGTCTGGTCACAATGGTGGCACATAACAAATCAATACTTCTGGGGGTACTGAATTGGAGATTGGTCGTTCTTTGATTCAGGTCAAAATTACGATCTGTGGACGAATGAATGGGTGTATGAATGGTTCAGCCCTAAAAACGAGTGTGACGTTCGGGTGTGGCAGAAGTCGATTTTTTGGCCATAGATGGTGCCATTGGAAAACAAGAGCAATCACATCCCCTCTGCCTTAATGGCCGACAGCAACAACAGGGGAGGATGATAAAGGAACATGTCATTCTCAGGAAGAAACACTTTTTTTACCGAGATTCATAAACCTAAAATTCTTGCATTTAATTCATTAAAAGTTTTAAAAAAATTAGGCAAAAGAATATTTTTTTTTTGGTAGTACTCTAATATATGTGGGTTTTTCAAGGGGGTGGAGAATGTAATGTCATCCTCATAGAAAATGATCACTATTTTTCATTACAAGGATCCTTATAGGTTATATTCCAATATTTAACTGCTTTAAAATATAAAAAGGATGAATGTTATGCATGTGTTTAAAAGTTCGAATTTTAGGCAAAAAGCATAAGCATCCATCACTGTTATTGTAATCATTCGAATAAAATAATGATAGTTTACGATTGGGTAAAAATGATCAGGCAATTTCAGACAGTGACGTGCAAAAAGACGTAGAGACTTGGGGTGCACGACTGCAAGATGGTGCATGTTTCGAGCAGTACACGGAATACACGTTTTTTTAGCGTGCACGACGAGGAAGAGGAATTTTTTATTGTTCTCCCTTATAATGATTAGTACGAGCTTAAAAACTTTTTCTCTCCCTTTAACATTAACTATTAATCCCTTACATGCATTGCTTCTGTTTGTTCAGAATTCTAAAAATATGCGTTAAAAGCAGTAAATTCAGAACACCGTTATGGACAGTGTATTCTGTAATTACAACAGATAAATATAATTTTTGAATTATTCGGAAACGTCTTCGTTCAACGCTTTATGATGTTTTTCACAAGAGCAGTGGAGATAACAGGGCTTCTTTGCAGCAATCATTTGAGATGTTATCGCCCACAGAGGGGTATGCAACGTTTCAAGAATACTGGCAAATATGCATGTAAACCATTTTGAATAAGAATTCGTTTCGCAGTGGACTGATTTTTAAGACACGGTTCCCAACAGATCACCGAAGTCAAGCATCATTGGCTGCGGTCAGTGTGCGGTATTGGTCCTCGTTAAACTGTTCTACCGTAAAGTGCTCGACTTGGCATGCAGGTCGTCGGGCTACCGAAGCTGGGGTGCCATCCCCTCTGCAGAGGATCAAAATTGTGATGGCATGTCTTCTGATCATCCTCAGGGATGTTTCCCAGACCGTCACCAATAGTCCATTGTGCAGCTCTAGAGCGACGTAAATGAACTGTTGTTGTTGTTCATTTATGTCGCACTGGAGCAGCACTGCTTCGGAAGCCCGATGACCTGCACGCGAAGTCGAGCACTTTACGGTAGAACAGTTTAACGAGGACCAATACCGCACACCCTCGGTCCCTACGCACACTGATCCAATTGGTCACCCACCAGCATACTGACAGCAACCAGTGATGCTTGACTTCTGTGATCTGCTGGGAACCGTGTCTTAACGATCAGTCCACCGCCGGACCGACGTAAATGAACTACAACAACAACAATTAAGAATTTTATGTGTTAGTTTCGTCATCTATTCGAGATATATTGATTTATCAAAATTTACAGAGTTTTTATGTTACAAAAATAAGCCGTCGGTAGTGTTGTCAATATATCAATCCATCAATAGTTTGTTATGATAGCCGGATGAGGATAACGTCGTATTATTATGCTATTACTGAAATATTTATCAAAAGTAAATCCTTTATATAAAATCAGGTGAGATAGAATATTATAACAAGTGTATTTGTTCAAACAAAAGATCTTTAATTTTTCCTTCTTGCATAACTGAAAGGTAATTTGCTGTGTCATTGTTAAAAGAAGGAAGGTTTTTCCTTTCCTTCTAAACTGAAATAGATATCTCCGAAGATAATCGCCTTTAACCCATTGTCTTTTGATACTTATTTTCAAACATACCGAAAGTATTCTCTTGGTAAGCTTAATAAATTTTTTAACCTTTATACATTAGGGCAAACTCTTTAAATGTATTTTGCGAAACTATGTTGATGCTTATATTACTTTAGTATAGTATTTTATGATCCTATCTTTTGTAAACAATTTGAAGTGTCACGGAAACAACATAATAAGCCCAAATAAATGAATTCAAAATCTAGATTGATTTCTTTTGTGTTTTTTAAAGATGGTACTCTGTTTCATGTCTCTCTAATATTTGTTGTTGTACCTACTGTTATTTAATGATCTAGAACAAAAAGAACCTTTCTCGTATTAAGTTTAAAATGTATTCTAAGGAGATTAAAATGTTTATAGTACTGAGGAGGTGCTCATATGTGATGGTAGTATTCTGAAAATTGTGGCAACTTGGTACATCACTCATCAAAATTAAAAAATTTTAATTTATGAGTTTGCACATATCTTTATAATAAATTGGTTAGAATCTCCTTGCCATCAGGCTAACTGTAAGATGTTTTCGTGGTTTTTCTGTTCATGTTATGCAAAAGAGGGTCAGTTCCATCAAAAAATCCTCCTTGAGGGCAAATTTTTCAAATTACTTGATTCAAAAGTAGCCTCGTCTTGTAGATTGGGCTCTAAATTAAAAGGCTACTGAGTTGAACATTGGTAGTTGTAAACACAAAATAGGATAACGATAGTTATAAAATAAATTTATATAAATATTTTTAAATATTATTCATCTAAATGAGTACACATTCAAATAATGTTATGCTTTAAAATGTCATTAAAAACATAGTTAAAGTTTTAAATATAAAATATCTAACATTAAAGGGCTAACTAACATTTAAATAATTATTACTGTTTGTTATTTATTGCCCTCAAGTTTATGCTACATTTACTTTTATAGGTAAAAATTCTATTTTTAAAGGGGAAATTAAATAGTGTTCTAGTTTCTAGAGTTCTATAGAAGGCTTAACCTTATTATCCTGTCAAGTACGCTTTTCCATGGATTAAATGAATTGAAGAGCCTTTAGTTGCAGAAGAATCTAAATGGCATTTTGTAAAAAATTCAGATACCTCAAAGAAACTTCTTATTTTGATTTTGCCAAATCATTAAATTTCAGAGGTTTTATGGATGAAGTTTTTAAGTAACAAACTTAGACTGTTTTGTGGTTTAGAAGGTTATGCCAAATACATATAGCTTGAGACAGATGATGACAACCTGAAAAAGCCTTTCTTTATTGCATCATAAGCATATTTAAACACTAAGAGTGTGAATGCTTAGAAATGAACATTTCAAATGATTGTCAGGGATTTATTAATTTTGCTAATTCAAAGTTTGCAGACAAAAAATAAAAGGCATTATTTTTATTTTTTCTTTCACAAGAAAAACGACAACGTATAAACGTTACCGATAATCTTTATCCTTTTATCTTTTTTTTTTTTAATGAGTCCCGTCATGGGTTCCAGCCGATCACTGGTCTAGTGGTTGCTATACTGAGTTACGGGGCCAGTGGTTGTAGCTTCAAATCCCACCGTAGGCATGGATCTAACTTTTCTCTCTCTTTGTGTTCTATGTCCTTTCTTTTATGTAAATGTAACCCGCCCTATAAACGGGTTTGTGGTTGTGTGAAGTGGGAAACGCTATTCCACCCCCTTGGCTTAGCGACAGGTGCCCACTGGGTAATGATAAGTGAGTAGAAAATCCGGCATTTCCGGGTCCAGTGGGAAATAGACCCGAGTGTCCACCATTAAAAAAAAATAATAATAATCTTTTTTTAATTGCAAATTTTATATCTAAAATAGTTTTTTCCTCTTTCAACAATAGGTACAATCTCAAAAAATTTTCTCATTTTACTGACAAAAAAATGGCAAGCCAGTGGTCAAATCCTAAAGAAATAAGAATACCTATATCATATGGTTTCATTGCAGTTAAGGCTTGGGGTGATGAAAGTGCAGAACCTGTCTTAGCACTTCATGGCTGGCAAGACAACGCAGGGACATTTGACAAACTTATTCCTTTGTTATCGTCGAATCTTTATATTGTTGCAGTTGATGGACCCGGTCATGGTTTGTCTTCCCATAAGCCCAAGGGAGCATTTTATCACTACATGGAAATCTTAGTTGATATTAAACGAGTCATCGATTATTTAAAGTGGGAAACATTTAGTATTATTGGTCATAGTCTAGGAGGTACCGTCGGTCTTCTGTACAGTAGTGTTTATCCAGAGAAAGTAAAAAATTTGATTCTCCTGGATATTATTAAACCTGCCTCTCGAGAAACTCATCTGTTGCCGAGTGTCACGAGAGAAGGAATTGAAAACCTGTTGAAGATCGAGAAAAAAACAAATGATCCGGCACCGGTTTACAGTTTGAAGGAGGCTGAATCACGCCTGGTTGCGGGAATGTATAATCAAATAACGGAAGAAGGTGCGAGCGTTCTCCTGAGGAGAGGTTGCAAGCCATCTGAATGCGGTAAAGGTGTTGTGTTTTCTAGAGACATCAGGGTAAAAATGACCGAAGATTTGCAAAAGTTCAGTCATGATGATTTAAAAGCCTTTATGAGCAAAGTATGTTGTAACTTGTTAATTATTGTAGGGAACAAATCAGTTGTTGTAAAATCTCGTACTCCGGACGTGCTCGATGATTTCTTGGAAGTGTATGAAAAAAACTGTCGCACGTTTAAAGTTGTGAAGGTTGAAGGAAATCATTTTGTACATTTGAACAACCCTGAACGAGTTGCACCACTTATAGATGATTTTTTTAAGAATTTGGTTAAATCTAAATTTTGATTAAAATCAACTTATGACAGATTCTTGTATGAATTAATATTTAATTCTCCTAGGCAAATATTTAATGTTCGATTCCATTCATTGTTGGGCATGTAATATTTTCATGTAATTTTTATTTATTATTTTAACTTTAGAAAACAAATTTTTCAATTTATGGTACTACTTTTAAAGTAGCCTGTAATGCTAATTTCTGTAAATAGAAAAATTAATGTTAAGTTTCTTACAAATGTAATTTCAATTAATTTTTGATTGTACATTATGTTCGCAAAATTCAAAGGAAGTTTTATTAATTTATCTTTAATTATGGAGCTCTTATTATGAATTGTGTTTAAAAAAATTTCCTGTTTTAAACAACTTAAAAAAATATGTCATTTTTATAGCTGAAGAGTGTATTTGATTACAATTACTTCCGTTGTAGGTTGCTTTTATACATTCTGATTGTTATTATAACTGTTATCAAAACATGTCTTATAATTTCTTTTGAAAAATAATTTATATGTAGTAATTAGTGCTTTGTAATTATTTCAATAATTTTTAGCATAATTCTCAGTTTGTTTATTTTGATTTATTAGCTGTACGATCACATGAAAAACAATTATAAATTTGATTGCTTTAAAAGTATTATCTATTTGTCAATTTTATTTTAATATTTTGATATATGTCGCATCACTTTTAAGATGAATGTTGTATTTGTTTCATGTTTATCATTAAATTATTTATATATTTTTTGTTATTTGATTCAATTTGTATTTATTATAATCTTTGTACTTTTATATTTCAACATTAAATAGTTAGGGTTAAAGTGAAATTTTAAAAGTCACCTAAAACATGCTTCATGGTATTCTCCTTAATAGTGATTTACTTAACCCCCAACCCTAGTTACAAAATAAGTTAACCCTAGAAATGGTCAATTTTAGCTAGTAAATTCAGTTTCAAAAGATTTCTGAATTTATTCTGCACTTTATTTTCTAATTAGGATTATAGACACAATTTTAAAATAATAATATTGTCTTTTAATTTAATGTTTTAGGCATATCTAGAGCTTTTGTGACCCCACCGACCCACCGTTAATAAATATTTTTCGAATACTTGTTAATAATGAAGCCCAAAAAGTATATATACATTAGAAATCGCAAATTAATATGTAAACTTGGAGGAAAAACTAATGTTATCAAAATTTGTCAAATCACTAGTGAGGAAGCAAGTTCAAAACACTCCAAAAACAGTTAGGTTTTCTGAGGAAACTTCTTTCTCAGAAAATCAAAACCTGATTTTTGAAAAACAGGTTTTGATGCTTTCAGTCTTGACTTCCTTCCTGAATTGAATATTGATCTGCTGCCTTTAATGTGTATACTTTTTTTACCACATTTTTAACTAGGATTCTTAAAATATTTGAATACAATCATCACGGAGCAACACACTATATGTACACATAAATTGATGTATTGCCTTTTCTTGTGTAGTAAAGTTTTCCAATGTAATAACAGGACACATGAGTCATGATTTTGATTTTATTTTCATAAAAAATATTGAAAATTTTTTATTATTCTTCTATAGATTTAACCGAAGTATATTGTATGGGAAATTTGTGTAAAAAATTATTACTTAATGTATATGCTTATTAATATTGAAATCAAAGCCCTATGGGACAAATTGAAGTGTCGTTAATAATTTATTGGGCCGGGATTGCCTGGTTGGCAGGGTGATGTACTCGTGTTCCTGAGAACAGGAGCTGGCCGAAGACTCCCCGTGTAGTATATGGTGACTGGTGTACGTTAAATGTGTCAGGTCACGAAATCCTCCATGTTCCCATAACAAATTATATCTCTTTGGGTAATGAATTAGAGATTGATCGTTCTCTTTTTCAAGTCAAAATTATGAATAGGCCTGCCCTGTAAACAGATGTGGCAGGAGTCAAATTCTTGGCTATAGATGGCGCCACTAACAAACAAGAACAATCGCATCCCTTGCCATAAAAGCCTCTGACAACAACAACATTAATAATTTATTAAACTTGTTACATTCTACAAAATCTTATTTGATATAACTTCAATCATAATTCATTAATTTATCTGGATCGAGCTCTGCTAATTGTGATCCATGCAGATCTGCTGGTTTAAAACACGATCCTTTTAGAACAACTGGCTTGTTGATGATGAGCCATTTCAGTTTATGATCACAGTATAAAGGATTACCTAAAACAAACAACAAAAATTATGAGATAAAGAATCCTGAATTGTGATTTTTAAAATGGATATTATTTTCTTCAACTAAAATTTTTTTTATATATACAGAGTATTCTGTAGTAACTGTACTGTTACATATTTTCAGAATTTCGCACCAGCCAAAAAACGTCATCGAATTCTGACGATTTACTATTATGGTCGGTCAAAATGAAAGAGGGGTTTAAGTCTTCAAAAATCAGCTTGAGGCTTGAAAAGCAGTTACTAATGAAAGGCAAGCCATAATCGACTCGTTACTTGTTTATTATTATTATTCCTTTTTTACGTCAAACGGTTCCTCAAAATATTACAACGTTCTCGTTCTTATTTATCTCTGTCTTAATTAATCTTTTTCTCTAATAGACCTCATTAATGATTTTTCTTCCTTTTTTCATTTTTTTTTCGCTTAAAGATTAGCTAGGTATACTTAATGCACATAGTTTTATTTATGTTTTATAAAAGTTCATAAAATATATATTACGGGTGCTCATTTCGAAATATCATACGTAACTACGATAAATTTATGGAACGAATGACACTCATTATAGTTATAAATAATAATACTTTATCATTTTATTGTCTCAAATTCTACATTATAGTATGTTTTTTCTAGCATTAGAAAAATCATTAAAATGTTATTTAAACTAAAATATTTAGTTATAAGATTAGTGATACTGATATTTATTTCACTGCATAATTCATCTTCCTGCGCCTCTTTTTCTTCTGAAAATACCTTAAACCGAATGTCTTAATGCATATTGACAAAACACCGTCTTCTTAGTTCTGCTGGAGTTTTACAAAAGTTTTAGTTAAAGAGTCTATATTTAACCTTAACGCCGTATTTAACTACGAGGGTTGCTATTTATATTTCTGGCCTTGGCAACAGTAAGTGTTGCTAGGCGACCGCAGACGATTTTAATCGAAAGTTTGATATTTTCAAACATAGATTCAGCAGACGATTTACCATTATAGCTTCATTTGTGTTGTTGACAGTACATTTCAAAAACGTTTAACTTCTTTCACCTTTAGATTCATTATTATCCCTCGAAGAATTAGTTTAGACAATATTTTAAGTTACGAGATAACCATAACCATTTAAGTTACGAAATCAGTCACAAAAACGTA